CTTCAAAATATTCATAGTTCTTCAGTTTTCACTTCATGTTCTTTTAGGAAATATTTTGCTTTGTGCTGGTTTCAGCTAAAGGATTTGCTCTTATTCTCTCCTTTTTATCCTCTTCCACTTTCGCTGTATGAAGTTATGAGTTTGTTACTATTTTACCTGAAAAGAAGTGCCTTATTTTATAATTTTTCTATAGTTGTATTTTACACGTTCTTTTCTTGTTCTCCTATTCCAGAAATTTAAAACGCATGAGTTGGAATCTTGGACTCTGCCTATGTGCCGTTTATCTCTCATGATGGCTCTTTCTGTGCAGCTGTTCCTGTTATTATTTTTTCTCCTCAAGATTGTTGCCTAGTTATATGTCCTGCACGTTTGACTACAATCACAATCTTTTACATGTAACATTTTTTATGTCTTCCGTTGGCCTAAATTAAAATATGTGTTATTAATTTATCTGATATTTAACTTGTAATAGTTACTCTTTTTGGTTAGGGTTACTAAATGTATCTATGTTTGCTTCTTCATCTGCCAGAGATCTATTTATTGTATTTTCCGTCTGTTGAAATAAATGATTTTGGTTGTGTGGATTTCTGTGGATTTGTTTTTCTTTTTTATATGCATATGAAATATTGTTGAGCTATTTACTGCAATATTTCGGAAGCCCTTTTCATTTAGGAATTATTCGGGTCCGTAAGAAGTTTTTCTCTGTGGATTTGTTGACAGGACTTATGCCTAGTTTTTATATGATTATTATGTCGATAGCATTTGAATTTTCAGACTAAAGTAAATATTATATGCTATATTTCACTGGTTATGTGTGTCTACTTGCTTCCATTTAAGAATAGTGCTCCTTTCTATTTCTAAATGACTGCAATATAGTTACACAATCTGCTTCCTTGATTTTCCGTGTTCTGTCGTGATGGCTGTATAAAGAAATTTATGATTTTTCTTCTTTTGTGGATTCTGGTTAAAATTCCAGAAACTTTCACGTGTATTTCGTGCTACACTGCCTATAAATCTCTAGCCGTTCTGTATTTCAGAATTACTTGAAGAGGTTTCAAAATGGAGCCCAATGAACAAGAAGGCAATGGGGCTACGGAAGAACTCCCACCTCCACCTCCTGTTCCTCCAAATGTTACTCCCATAAAAGTCGATTCTGAACCTGAAGCAAAAAAGGTCTTGCGGGCCCCGATGGCCCGTCGTGGTTTTGGAACCAAGGGAAACAAAGTTCCCATCCTCACCAATCACTTCAGAGTGAATGTGAACAAGGTCGATGGGCATTTCTACCATTACAGTGTATGTGGCAGATACCTTCATCACGTTTTTCCATCCTGTATTAACTTTTCTTTTCTTGATCGTGTTCACTAAATTACCCCATAAGCATATCTTCCCCAATTTGCTCATTAAGCCAAAAGTCACAAGGTTGTTTCTTTTGTAGTCATATATCAGGATGAGTGAACATCCAGGTAAGTTGTGGTGGCTAATTGTTATATATTGTGTGACTGTATTATATTTTGTAGGTGGCTCTTTCCTATGAAGATGGTCGCCCGGTTGACGCCAAAGGTGTAGGTAGGAAAGTTCTTGACCGTGTCCATGAGACTTACGACACAGAATTGGATGGAAAACATTTTGCCTATGATGGTGAGAAGAGCTTATTCACTGTGGGCCCGCTACCTCGGAACAAGCTTGAGTTTACTATTGTGCTTGACAGTGTGACGTCTAGTAGGTATGTATGGTGTTTGTAATTTATTACCTTTATCTCATTTGCTAGTGTTGCATGTTTGCTATCACTGAATTGAGCCGAAAATTGTGGACATCCTAATCCTTCTACTAAGATATCATGGGTTAAATTAAATTATATAACTGTAGTACTGTTATTTATCTATAAAAGTCTGCGTGGGGAGTAATGGAAGTATTAGGGTGACAGTTATTTATAATGCAAAAAGGTTGTGCTAGTATAATATACGAAAATATATGAAAATTTCATTCGGATCTACTTTTGTTTTGCCTGGTTATTGATTTTCTTGCGTCCCATCAATTACTGGTTTATTTATCTCTTCATACTTGTGCATTGGTTTTATCCAGGAATAATGGAAATTCCAGCCCTGGAGGACACGAAGGCTCTAATGAAAGTGACAAGAAAAGGATAAGGCGCCCTTATCAATCGAAAACATTCAAAGTGGAAATCAGTTATGCAGCTAAGATTCCTATACAGGCCATTACAAATGCTTTGCGAGGGCAGGAATCTGAAAATTCTCAGGAGGCTATTCGGGTCCTGGATATCATTTTGAGGCAGCATGCTGCAAAGCAGTAAGTCATGTCAACAAAATATTTGACTGAGTTTGTAGTAGGGCTTTGATTGCTCTTGAGATTTTTTCTTAATTCTTTTGCAGCATGCAAACCATCATTCATTTATTTATTTATAAATGCATTACATCAACTAGTTTATTGCAATCTCTTATTTTCCATTTAATATAACTTATAATTTACTATTGTTAATGCATTTACATCTCATACCTGTTTACACTTAAAATGCATTCGAGATTTTCCTGCAGAAATTTCCATTATTGATGGAAAATAAGTAAAAGCAATTTAGCTGTAATCATTCTTCATTTCAGGGGTTGTTTGCTTGTTCGTCAATCTTTTTTCCACAATGACCCAAAGAACTTTGCTGATGTTGGAGGTGGAGTTCTTGGCTGCCGCGGTTTTCATTCAAGCTTCAGGACGACCCACAGTGGCTTATCCTTGAACATTGGTAACATTTTTCTCTGTTTTTAACATTATTAGCCTTTCATTTTTTGTTATTGTTATATAACTCATTGAGAATTCCTGGAATACTTGCAGATGTATCCACGACTATGGTTATTCAGCCTGGGCCTGTAGCTGAGTTTCTGGTTGCTAATCAGAATGTAAAAGATCCCTTCTCCATTGACTGGGCAAAGGTTTGAAAGCAGCTTTTTCACAATTTTGGATGAATTGAGAATGTTCTTTTCTCTCTTTTCCTTTTTCTTCTTTTCTTTTCATTTTTCTATTTTCTGTTAAGGATTCACTATTGCTAATAAAATCACAACAGGCCAAACGTACTCTGAAGAATTTGAGGGTGAAGACTAGTCCCACCAACCAGGAGCACAAAGTCACTGGATTAAGTGAGAAAAGTTGCAGAGAGCAGACGTATGGCCCAGTTTTGCTTTTTTCTTTTACCTACCATTTGAAACTGGCCCATTATCACCAGTGTCTCTCTCTCCCTCTCTCCTGCACCTGTTTTGGATTTAATTTAGTTTCTTGCTGTGAAAATTTTGTAGGTTCACGTTAAAGTCGAAGAACAAGGATGAGGAAGGTGAAGAAGTGACTGTCTATGATTACTTTGTCAACCAACGCAACATTAATTTGCGGTATTCTGCTGATTTGCCGTGCATTAATGTTGGGAAACCGAAACGACCAACGTACTTCCCAGTCGAGGTGAACTGTCTATTATATATCACCTTTTGTTTAAGAATGCTATCTGACGTTTTTTCTTGGCATGCATTAGTTGTGCTCTTTGGTGTCTTTACAACGTTACACAAAAGCTCTGTCAACGTTCCAAAGAGCATCACTTGTGGAGAAATCACGTCAAAAACCGCAAGAGAGGATGTCAGTTCTGAGTAATGTATGGCTTACATTCTCCCTCCTTTTGGTTTTTTTCTGCTGTTGTGTATTGAACTGCTTCTGGTTTGTGGCAGGCTTTGAAAATCAATAATTACGATGCCGAGCCTATGCTTCGTTCTTGTGGCGTGTCCATTAACAACAACTTCACCCAGGTTGAAGGGCGTATCTTGCCAACACCAAAGGTATTTATGTTTCTAGGATTTGAGTGTATTGTTTATCTTCCAGAAACACTTGTATATGGAACTTTTGTGATGGGTTGAAAAGCCGTTGCTGATTTTCTTTGTACTTGCTCTGTTGCAGCTTAAAGTTGGTAATGGTGAAGATCTGTTTGCTAGGAACGGAAGGTGGAACTTCAACAATAAGGTCTCTTCATAAAACGTTTTACACTATGATTGTAGCCATGCTAAATTGTATGTCCCCATGTATGTTTTCGCTTAAACGGTTGAACGTACTTGGCACAGAAACTTGTTGATGCAAGTAAGGTTGAGAAATGGGCTGTTGTAAACTTCTCGGCTCGATGTGATGTGCGTAACCTGGTCAACGAGTTGATGAAAGTTGGTCAAATGAAAGGAGTTGTATGTCCTCTGACATCCTTTGTTCTTTATGATTCTCCATATGTATCTAAGGATATAACTTCAAAAAAACCCTCAAGAATTGGCAAATAAAAAACACAGTTATCTCCCCGAAGTATTAACACTTGTTGATTTCCTTGTTCTCCCAATATCTAATGGAGTGTTTTCAATTTCGACAATCAAATGTACTTTTCATTATTAGGTTAGGTTGCAGGGATTGTTCCCTTGTTTTCGAGTGGATTATGCTGATTCTTTCTGTTTCAGAGTGTTGAACATCCATTCGACGTTTTCGAGGAGAATCCTCAGTTCAGACGGGCTCCGCCTACTGTTAGGGTTGAGAAGATGTTTGAGGAAATACAATCAAAGCTTCCTGGCCCACCAAAATTCCTCCTGTGCTTGCTTCCAGAGCGCAAAAACTGCGACGTTTACGGTATTTGTGAAATTCAATAATCAATACCCCAACTTCAAGTAAAGATCAATCGTGTTGGACATTTAACGCAAAATATACTTGTAAGGTCCCTGGAAGAGGAAGAACTTGTCTGATTTTGGAGTTGTTACCCAATGCCTGTCCCCTGGACGTGTAAATGACCAGTATTTGACAAATCTCTTGCTGAAGATCAATGCCAAGGTTAGTCAGACCCCCCAAAAGATAGAATGTCTTGATTTATTATAATCTTGTTGGTTCTGTAATGTTTTTTCGCATCCTGTTCCTGGCAGCTTGGAGGTCTGAACTCCATGCTGGCTGCTGAGTTGTCACCATCAATTCCTGTGATATCAAAGTCTCCCACTTTAATTTTGGGGATGGACGTGTCTCATGGCTCGCCTGGACAGTCTGATATTCCGTCTATTGCTGCAGTATGTGTTTTTTTATATGTGTATATATATATATATATATATATATATCATAACAGTGAAAGTGATTCAAATTTTCCCTTTCTTTTGGTTTGATTTTGTTTCAAGGGCATTTTTGTTATTATGCGAAGTTAGTATGACCAGCTTTCTGTTGGTCTGATGCTGCACTTGCTTTTGATCAACTGATCAGGTTGTTAGCTCGAGGCAGTGGCCCTCGATTTCTCGCTACCGAGCTTGTGTCCGTACGCAGTCCCCAAAAGTTGAAATGATTGACTCGCTTTACAAGCGTGTGTCGGACACTGAGGATGATGGCATTATTAGGTAATGTTTTTGGATTGAAGTGTGTGCTCAATCAAATCAAGTCAGGTTTTTACAGCTTCTGACTTCTGAAATTTGTTATATTGCTTATAAAGAAAATTTTGAACTTTCCATATATAGAAAAGAAATAGAAAGAGATAGACTAGAAACGAGATCTGTTACCCCAAAGGGATATTAAATGAATGGAATTGGGAAGATTGCTTTGAATAGCCCTACCAGGGGCATAGGGGATTAGCGGTCGAATAAGCAATGATTCCTGCTTAGCACTTGCTATAGAAGAAGCTGCTGTTAGCTCTAAGGGGACTGAAGTCACTTCAGGGGGTAGTTTTTCAAATGTCTTGTCTGAAACCGATGGCACTGCCCTCCCGGCCCTTTTTTTTCCAACGAATCCGGGAAAGAGGCTCTTCAGGACCCGGCCAAAATATGGAGAACGAAAATGGACCGCGGATGGTGGTCGTGGTAGATTCGAGTCTCTTTTTCGGCGGAGCGAACTCTTAAAGCATCAATGTAATTTTTTCTAGATGTTTGATGGAAATGTCTTTCTCCATTGAATGCAGGGAACTTCTGATTGATTTTTACACTAGCTCGCAGAAAAGAAAGCCTGACCAAATCGTAATCTTCAGGTAGTGTCCGAAGCCGCTTATTTTTTGTAATCATCAGTTTGGATGATGAAATGTTTATTATTATCTTGATTTCTTTTTAATCCTATGCAGTCTGATATTGATATGATCGGTTATCAAATATTTCTGAACACTCATTCTGTGAATTTTCAGAGACGGTGTCAGTGAGTCACAGTTCAATCAAGTGCTGAACATCGAACTAAACCAGATCATTGAGGTTTTTATCTGACCTGTATATTTAAATACGTCTGAACTATTCATTTATGATTTTATTATCCTCTTCTTGGTTTTCTTTAGTGAGAGGTATTTTTTACCATTTTTATGAAGGCCTGCAAATTCCTTGACGAGAAATGGTCACCCAAGTTTGTGGTCATCATTGCTCAGAAGAATCACCACACGAAATTTTTTCAGCCAAATGCTCCTGAAAACGTGCAGCCAGGTGATCACATCTTTTTTCCCTCTTATTTATTTATTTATTCAGTACAGTTTTGTCATTCCGAACTAATGAGGGAGATTGGTAGATATTTTACGTCTCTGATATTTTTCACAGGAACAATAATTGATAACAAGGTTTGTCATCCCAAGAACAATGACTTCTACTTGTGTGCACATGCTGGGATGATAGTAAGTCCTTCATTTTTATTTAGTGTTGTTTTACCCTTTAGAAGAATAAACTCATTTATGATGTTATTTTAAATTACAGGGAACCACACGACCTACCCATTATCATGTCCTGCTAGACGAGGTTGGTTTTGCTGCAGATGATCTGCAGGAACTTGTGCATTCCTTGTCGTATGTGTAAGTGGCTTAGTTAATTGATATAGCCTATGTTTTAACTTTTAACTACACTAGTTTAAGATTTCGAATTTCTCAACTCTCTTCCTGATTTTCTCGCATTATCTTGACTGGCAGGTACCAGCGTAGCACCACTGCTATTTCAGTTGGTAAATTGATCGTCTTGTTAAAATCTTTTGCTGGTTAATTATAAAAATTGAGTAGTTGATATATTTTTTTTTTTTTTTTTTTTTTANTTTTTTTTTTTTTTTTTGATAGTTGCCCCCATTTGCTACGCCCACCTGGCGGCCACTCAGCTAGGCCAGTGGATGAAATTCGAAGAGAAATCCGAGACATCTTCCAGCCATAATGGGAGTGTGCCAGCTGTGGTCCCCATGCCCACTCTCAAGGAGAGTGTACGCAACTCCATGTTTTTCTGCTAAGAAAACCGTAATAGGATTTTAACTGCCGTTTTGTGTTTGTTTCTTTTGTCGAGTGCAGAACCTCGGACTTATGGTCTGCGTCTAGTAATTATCAGTCGAACCTGGTTTCGCTTGTCCGTGTGCCGTTTTTCATTTTTTGTGTTGCACGGAAGCCAAGCCGGTGTTTTTGTTGGCTTGAATGTTGGTTGGTTAGCTAAGTTATGAAATATGATTTTCTATTTTGCTGTTTGGATCTGTTTTCCTTCTCATGAAGGGTCCTCAAGTGTCAGCTTTCAAAATTACAAATGTTATTTTTGTTTCTTTTAAGCCCGAAGAGAGCTGATTTCGTATTACACATGTACGTGTTCCAAGGAAGACGGTCCAACACATTCCAATATCAACTGAACAAGTTCCAGGTTCCAACGTAGGAATTGTGGATTATATGTGCAATCATGGGGGCCATTAACCCAGCGAGACTTCTTTGCTCATAGTTTATTAGAATTTTGATTCATCTTCGGCCTTGACCATAACTCTTGCCAAGCTTTGCCATAATTTGAATTGTTTAGGAAAAATTGAATTTATTTCCTAAAAAGAAAAACCTATTTAGGAATGATTGCAATTATTTTTCCATATTTATGTATATTTCACAGTGAGACCAAATAATTTATGAAAATAAAAACATAATACTGGATCATAACAAGCTTCGTAATGTGGAGCGTATTTTTAGGAATTTTCAGCAATAAAAATTTTATTGAAATTAAATAATAATAATAATTTTAGTTTTAAATACCTTTTTGCAAAAGTATACTATTATTTATATTTAAATTGATACCATTACTTTCATGACTTATCATTTTATATTATATATAATTATATATATATATATATATATATTTATCATTTATATCAGATAACTACTTTGTAGTAGTTAGGTTAGTTTAAATAATTTTGCTTTTTTGAATTAATATTAATATCTAATTAAATTTTAATTATAAGGTTAAATAAAATTGTTTATTTATTTTGTATGTATAATATAAATATCAAATTGACGCTCATCACGACGTGATTAATTTATTTGATATATTATATTTAATTTTTTTAATTAATATAAAAATTATTAACTTCAGATATATTTATAATTTAAGTTAATAAGTTTGTTATAATTTTAAAAGAAATATGAGAAAAAAGATTGAAAAAAACCTAATAAACCACGTTACAATAGGAAATGATATTAAATTATAATTAACTCTCTTAAAAAGAACCATAAATATCCATTACATTTTTAGATATCCCAAGCCTATTACTTTTGGATTCGAAATACATTAAAATTCATTCAAGCCAAACAACAAAGTTTAAAAATTTGACACATAGGATCTCAAAACGTGCGATTCTGCCATCTAGGCTCAGCATATTCGAGAAGTATAAATAAGAGGGATAACGATAATAATAGAACAAAAACTGGATCATAACAAGCTTTGTATTAACCTGGCATCGACCCGGGCGGTCAACTCGATTTGACCGGGCCATTACATTTTTTTTTTAATTTTTTTATTAAAAATAAAACTATGTATATATATTTAACACTTTAGTGTACAAAATTTATATACAAAATATTAATTTGTTACTTTTATGTATATTTATGTAATAAAAGTATTATACATATAATTTTAAAATTTTTAAAATTAATTATCCGGTTTAACAATTGACCCAGTAATCCAAAGACTTGTTTGGGTCGGTTCCTGGTCGAGTTCAATAACTATACAATTTTTAATAATTTCGCACTAATAATAATAACAATAATAATAAAATAAATGTGTCCGTATACTAATATTAAATAAAAAAGGTATGATTAATATAAGAAGATTCTATCCTATTAGGAATGGATCAATTTTATAATTTCAGTGTATTATAAAAGATTAAGTTGAAATTATATATCTTAGTTTTACTTTATTTTATTTTATTTTATTGAAATTTATGAAAATCTTGAGCGTGTGTAACTATTGAGAATTTTTATCAAATTGTAATATTTTTAAATCTTAACATAATCAATTTAGATCGTTTAAGACTTTAAAAAAGTCCATTTGTATTCAATCAATATTTTTAAACATTCTTTATAAATCTCTTAAAATTTCAAAATATTCAAAATTCATGTAGAAATTTTAAAAAAATGACGAGATTTTATGAGATTTTTATTTTTTTATTTTTGTGATTATTCCAAAATATATTCTCTCTAAGTTTTAAGGTACAATTATTTATCTCAAATTCTATTATTTTTACTTATTTATTTGGGTAGCTCATGCAATTTGTATTTTCATAAAAAATGAGTTTATTTTTCTCTTTTATTATTTATTTTATTTAATGTTAGTCTTTGTGTGTGTTTTATCTGTTTGTTTTGTATCAAATTTCTTTTTGTTGATGTAAGGTGCTTCCGAGTACTTATGTTTTAGAAGATAAAATTGTCATTTTTCGGTGCCTATTGTAGGTATAAACCATAATAATGTTTCCTTAGTAATGCAAGATGCAGAAAATAATAAAAAATTAATGTAAAAATAAATAACAGTGAACAGTCACATAAAAAAATAGTTTAATTTAATTTTAATAGATATAATCATATTTAATATTATTTTATCATTTTATTTCACACAAAATTTTCATTAAATCCTAACATATATATAAAATGTACAAATTTTACAAATTAATGAAATCTTATGTATTTTTCGCTTACTTATACAATAAAAAATTTAATTTATCATAATCGCTATCGTACTTTGTAAAGATACTTATTAGTTATTACCATAAATATGTCTATTTTTAAAATAGACAAAAAATATAAAGAAAAAAAGTATTATTTTATCTTTAGCAATAAAATGTTTTTAGAGAGAAATTCGTATTCGTCATACTATTTTTACATAGATACACCCTTATATTTACACAACTGAAATACGCGCGTAGAAGCTAAAGAAACACATGTCCGTCAAAGACTCAAACACACATATATTCCCAAAATTATAAATATACGTGGACATAATAAAATTCGAAGTCAATCTTTCAAGGGCTTGACAACCCTAATAGGCTCTGTGCACCAACTCCTCCTCTCTCCCTCTGCCGGCCCGCCCCTTTTCTCGGCTCCCGCCACTTCTCTCCGCCATAACCGCCACCGTGTCCTACAAAAACCACTCCGATTTATTTATTTATTTATTTTTTAATTGGATACATAAAGCTTCTGTCTCACCTTTCCAATAAATTTTTGATCTTTGTTTCAGTGATCCGATCCCGAATAATTCGGATAAATATCTATATCTATACGCGATTATGGGGTCGGAGGACAATGGGGGTGGTGCTGGTTGTGATTTGCTTGATAATCAGAACAACGTCGTTGTTGAGGGGGCTCCGATGTCGCCGTGGAAAACTTCTGCCGCCGCTTCTCCGGTGATGGAGGCTGATTCTGACTCGTGGCCGGCGTTTTCCGGCGCACATCAGCGGGCGAAAAGCAATGGAAGTGCTGATTCCTTGTCGGCCAAGCCACCGTCCTCTCCGGCACAGGCGGAGACTAATGGATGTGGCCCTCCTCTGGCGGCTGTTGCGCCGGTAGTTGAACTTTTTTAAATTATTTTCAATTCCTCTGCCTGTCTTAAATTATGTTTTGGTAGTGTGCTATTGCTCGGAATGCACTTGGTTTCTGCATATGGTTTTATTAGTTTTATGCTATTGTGTCTGGCTAATGAGTAAAATAACGGAAAAGAACAGACACCAGAAGTTGAGAGACTAGACTCCACCTGTTAGACTCTCTCTCTCTCTCTGTCTTGTTCGAGGTGAATCAAAGATCATTTTTTGAAATTTAGTTATATGTCTTTACCTAATTTATTTGTACTCAGTTCACAACTGCACTTGTTGTCTTCAAGCTTATTGGTCCCTCTCCTTTTCACTATTTTTTTTTCTTGTGTATCTGTGATAAGTACAAGAAAGGTATTGTAGAAATATATTGTGTAATTAACTTGCGTGTTACAGTGGCATATAGAACGTTTATCAATTGGGAAAACAAATCGAAAAGCCAAATTATGATCAAAATAAAATCTAATATCAAACCATAAATATGAGTTTGGTTCTCTTACATGCCAAATTGACATGGTCAGTTAAGGAACTTCAAATAGCCCTTTGAAAATGCCTATTTTGCATTTCAAATATGCGTATCTTACTCCTCCTGGTTCTGGGTCTCTTTGTAGGCTACAAATGAGCAGCAGAAGTTCCATGGACGCGGTAATTCAAAATATCACCGCAGGCCCAACTCTACGCATCAAAACAGAAGTGGTCCCAAGCATGGCCCAAATAGTGTACCTCCGTTTCCTGTTCCCTTGCCCTATCATCCACCAGCAGTATCACTGCCTTTTCATCCAATGGCTTCCGTCCCACCTGTTAACCCCTCAGGATATACTTATCAATTTCCCCCAGGGACTCTTCCGAGACCTGGTGACAGTCGTGCACCCTCTTTTCTTCCACCACAGAATGGAAGTTCTCAGCCTCAGCCAGCACCACTGCCCGATTCCAATGCTAGTGATTGGGGTTCTGCTGGTGGAAGACGAAGTAAAAAGGAGGAGCAAGGCCAAGTAACTGCTTCCTGGAACAATCACAGGCCAGCTGCCTCTAACAACTTCCGTTTGCAAGGAGCTATGGGGCCGAGACCTTTTGTAAGGCCTCCGTTTCTTGGTTCTGCTGACTTCGTTAATGGGCCAAATATTTCAGGTATTTTGAATTTCTGGATTGAAGAAATGTGATATCATGAAAGTAGGATTTCTTTTATTGGTTCTGTCTGTCTGGCTTTTCGTGTTACGTTATTCTTCAAGAATACTATTCTAACTATGTGAAAACAGGTCCACCAGGAACTATCTATTACTATCCTGCTCCTCCTCCAGGCTCAGTCAGACTGCAATACCCACCATTTGTAGTTCCATTTCCCGTGAACCCTGGAGTTCCCATGCCACCCTCACCAGCAATGGCCTTGAGAGCTGGCATTGTAAAGCAAATTGAATATTATTTCAGGTGAGTCATCCTATTATATTTGCATCATAAAACCGATTTGTAATGATTACTCATTGACATGTGGACATG